TTTTTTTTAACGCTACGTATTGATATATTTGATGCAGAAGTTTATAGAAGCTCATCCTGTATCTGCAGTGAAAGCTTGGATGGAAAAATGGAAATAAAACCCCCACACACACGCACAAACACCAGAAGAGCGAGATGAACTCAGCGTGGTGCCACTTTGATGGAAAAATGCATTAGAGTCGTTCACCCTGCAGACAACATCTTTGGAGGCCTTTGGTACAATGGCAGGAAGGCACTGTGGTGAAACATTCAGATAACTGAGGAAAGACAGAACTTCCTCATGTGCAAATATGGCTATCGTCCAGAGAAAGTGAGAACAAATTACTCACAAAACGCTATTAACTCTTCCAAGGTTAATCTAAGGCTCCTACAGAAAGACAGCAAGTCGCATTATGTAACAAAATATTAATACTGGAAAAACACTGCTCAGCGAGAACAGGAAATAATTTAGTACTGCATATTTTGAAGTGCTTCAGCGTGGCTAGATGATTTTAACCTATCTATATCTGCTTTATTTTTAAAAAGAGGCAGCAACGTGTAGCACTATGTCTGAGGATACTCCTTTTCTCCTTCTCAGAAATAAATATGAAGTTGGTTAAAGCTGTATTTTTTAATCTAATGGTTGCAGGTAGAAGCAGCTAGAGTAGCACAGCCTGACCTCATGAAGCTGTAAATAAAACCACTAAAATGTAGTCTATATTATATACATCTTATGAACCCGCGATCCAGGCGCTGGCTTCACGCAGCTGCACGGATCGGCCGGAGCGGAGCCAATTCCAGATCATGACCCAGGATCGTAACTGCGTGTGTGTGTGTGTATATACTCCATAATAAAAATCATCCAGAACGCTATGGATATACATGTGAGTGTGTGTGTATATATTATATATGGAAAATACAACAGTATATATTACATATATATAATGTTATATTTTTATATACTTATATATGCACCTACACGAACACACATGCTTAACAGCTATGCCTTAAAAATTAGGAAGAAATACAGCTAATGCAAGAACAACGGCACAATTTGTAGCACTTTTTTAAAAAAATCCTCTTCCCCTCTCTCTACAGCAAAGCATCTGCAAGAGCATGTAGAAGTCGTGGAAATCTTATCTTTCTGCTAAAAGGAGCAAAAAAAGTCGTGGAAATCTTATCTTTCTGCTAAAGGGAGCAAAAACGTCGTGGAAATCTTATCTTTCTGCTAAAAGGAGCAAAAAAAGTCGTGGAAATCGTATCTTTCTGTTAAAGGGAGTGTGTTTTATGGGTGCATCCTGCAAAGCGGCTTCGGCAGAGCCTGGCAGGGGCTCAGGGACTTGCCTGCCCGGACCCCTTTGAAGGCTCAAATCACTCTGAGATTGTGATTTCCCTGTCTGCTTTACACGGCCATGCTTCAGAGAAAGGGGAAAATGATGTAGGATGCTCAAATGATCAGCAGGGGTCAGTGGCAGGAAAAAAAAAAAAACACACACACCAAAAAAAACCCAACCATAATCGGGTTCCCCATGAGGAACATCCATAGGGAAACTGCCCATTGCAGGTCGCTACTGGGTACTTGCTGTCATCCCATTAGAGATGAGACATCCATCTGCATAAACAGAGATACTGAAATCCAGTTGCTATCCATCACCAAATAAACAGCAATATTTTTGTCAGGTTGTCTACAGATTTACAAATGAGTTGATGTTCTTCTTTGGTATCCTATTTAAAACCCAGCAAGGGGGAAGCTCCTGTCAGTTAATTTGCAATTTGAAAGTGGGGAAAACTAAAGCAGGGAAAACTAAGTGGCCATTCTCAATAGTTCCAAGTTTGAATCCTGAGAAACTGGGAGACAAATTTGGGCGGTTGTTTTGCTCAGTCGCAATAAAGAACTTCTGATAGACACGTTTCACCCTTAAGAATTTTTCAAAATTGTCCAGTATTTCAGACTGCATTAAAAACTCCACGGTGGATGGCAGATAACTGAAGGTAGCTTGTCGGAGGCGTGTGAGCAGTCCAAGTGCTGTTTAACAACCAATAACTTCACGGTGCAGAAGCCATTTCGACTAATCCAAGCTTCAGTTTTGTTCATGTATAACTCAGGAGGAAAAAAGGCCACTCACTTCTGCAGGTAAAAGGCTGAGGTTTGGATATATTTATGCTCGTGCTGACGCACCACGTGCAGCTCACAGCACGAGCCCCAGAACGAAGCGTCCACAACCAGAGCTTTTTTAGTGCTGCTGAAATGGGATACATTTTGTGACAAAAGATTTTAATTTTGCGACGTGGTGCATGGTGCGTGCCCCGTCTCTGTATTACTCCAGCAGCGCCTGCGTTCCTAGCAGTACTTTTGTGGGAAAAGCAAGAAAATTCAGATTACAAAACCAAGATCATAACAGAGATCTAGGTGAGATGTTCTGAGCAGCACGATGCTGTAGTATCTTGCTCTAAAACACGGACTTGCATAGGTTAAGTGCTAACTTTTTGTGGCAGTATATTTTTCTCACTATGCCTGAGAACGATTTTGTTGAACCTAGCATATACTCTAAAGGTTTATGCAATTACTTGTTTTGCAGTTTTGGGGAACCACTTATACAGATGCTCTGCTGACCTGCTCTATTCCCCTCCCCTAATTACTGTTGTGAGCATGGGGACATGTTGGTATTCAGCAAAGTTTACTCTGAAACAACCAAGAATTGTGTTTTCTGGACTCGACCTCTAGCTCTGCACCCAAAATAATATGAGCGTTCCTCATTTACAAAAACAAAGATGACGATTAGTAGCTATTTCCTACAGTATTATGGCTATCTCTTACTGTACATTGATTACGCACTCAGGATGTCTTCTTATCACACGGTGGTAGCAAGGGCACGCCAAGAAGTGTGACAAATGCACGAGGAGCACACCTGCAAATGGCACAGGTAACCTCTTACTGTGATAAGCAGGTATCAGTACAGCATATGCCAAAACCTGAAGCAAAACATAACTAACACATTAATCACATGGAGATTTAATCTTTCCAGAAATTGCTGGTGGCTTTGCAAAGCTGAAGAAGTATAAGTAGGTGCATGCCTTTGTTTATAAGATATGGCTTCTGTGAGATGCACTTATTTTCCTCTGCAGCTGGTGTGGATAAATGCTACAGCTGCTAAATGAGACAAGATACAAGCCAACAGCAGGTTCTGTATGGAAAGAAACAGCAACAATTCATTAGAGATAAAACATCTAAGACATGTTCATGTACTGCCTTAATATGAATAAGGATCAATCATAAAAATCTTTGGATAGGCATAACAGTGCTGAGGTTACTGAGAGTCCTATATATATTAATCTCTACTTTATCAGGGTTTATTTTATCTTGGGAACGATGTTTGAGTGGCTGAATTTTTCTTTTAATTAGTTCTCTTTGAATATCCTTCTCCTTCAAACTCCTGTCCAGAAAAATAAAACTCCTGGATCCAGCTGATGGCTACTGCTTGAAATACTAATCACAGTGCTCAGGCAGAGAACATGGGTTTGGACCCCAGGTTGGCCAAAGGCCCAGCAAGCCTGGGTTGCCTCAGTTTCCTACAACGATAACATTTTTCAAGAGGGCTTCAAGACCCGGAGGGCAAGTCATTGTTAGCAAACTGCAAACTGTTTTTACTCTTTTATGGAATATATTACTCTCTTTCTTCTCTCATTTCCCACCCCACCCAAATAAGCGCTCATGAATAACCTCCCTTGCTTTGTGCCGTGTTCAGGAGTGACGTCTTACTTCTCCCTTATTACTAAGATATATTGATACATAGATAGATATTTTGCAGCAGGCTCGAAGAGTTTCCTCAGACAGATGCTCTGTTATATGAGAACAATATGATCTTTGGACTAAAGGAAGGGTGTCCTTTTCGATGTTTACAGAGAGAGGTGGCGAGTTGCTTAGTCAAGGCTGTCAGCTTGATGCCAATACATTGTTCCTTGCATTGAATTGGTGCCTTGAGATGAACAGTTAAGGAAGCAGGAGGTTGCAGGGACACTGGAAGGATCTAAGAGGTCAGTTATGGAAGGATTCGGCAAAAGTTGTCTCGCAAATCTCTGCCTCTATGTCTGGTTTCTGGCAGGCAGTCCCGAAAATTCCTTCCTGATAATTTCATTAACTGTGAAATAAAGAAAGAGAAAGAAATGTTAGAGCACCTTGAAAAACACGAGCAGCAAACGCAGTCCTGGGCAGTTGACCATTAACTCGAAAAAATCCCTGTGCTATTCATAACACAGTCCTGATTACAACTTTAAACTTTCTAACTAGTCAGACTGCATATTTTTTAAGGGAAAATAAGGAGAGGAGAGAGAGAGAGGTTCTACACTGTGTTCAGCATGCTTCAAATACCGTAAAAAGTTTATCCACACATGGAATCAGGTGACCAGTCCATGCTGCAGCCCTTACATAGAACAAAACTTTCCCTCTCCCGCACACGTTTCCTTTACCCAAGTAGAAGAGGAGTCCACAGGTATCTGAGCATTTCAACACCTTTACTAAGCAGAAATAAGAATATTTTTGAAAAGAAAAGGCAAAGATTTGGAGGGGACACAGGGGTAGTGCTGAAAAAGCACAGATTGCGATGCAGGGTAAAGTGGTTTGGGTTTGTTTGCTTGGAAAAAAAACCTCTCCCCTTAAGTCTCTTTGTTCTACATTTGTGCTCTAGTTTGTGTGCAGATCGCGGCAAGACAACACAAGGAACTTCCACGCTCCTCTCCAGCCTTCTCCTCTGCCAAGCTGGGACTGCAAAGCCCAGGAGAAGCCCCCGAAGCTCCTTCTCCCAGCACGGTGTGATGTTACACACAGCAGCCGTGCTCCTCCGAACGCCTCCGTGCTGAAGCAGAGCCTGGGCTCCTCCTGGACCACCCCTCTAGGCTGGGCTTTCACTAGGACCCCTGCCATGGGAGACCTGAGGTTCTCATGTTCTCACCCAAACTGCGTGTTTGCGGCTCCGTCTCATGCGTGGTGTATTCACCAAGGCTGTGCACACTTTGGAAACTGTCTACTTTGATAAATATGCCTTAAAACTGAAGACAACACTGTCTAACAGTTAAGACCCAGATCTAAATGGGTAGCAAAGTCACTCCACGTCTTCTCCCAAAGGTGGAGCACAGGCCAGTTTTTGGATGCAGTTCCAGATTCATCTGGAGCCCTGTCACTGTTCTTGCAGTTGTGGGCATATTTCTTTGCCTTCAGCCTTGAGTTCAATGGCATTTTTTGGATTTCCTTTTGCAAAAACACCATGTCTTTCACCTCAAATGAATTTACAGTGAAAGACAGGGAGGAGGCATGTGTCAGACACATATAAAATTGAGAAAGGGCTCACAATTTTTCCAAATTACTGTTTCTTAGGAAGGGCTCATTATTTATGAATATGTTCCTGTGACACAAAAGGCAGGCAATTATACTAAGACTTTTTTTTAACTGAAAAAAATATATTTTTGAAAATGTAACAGTTAAGTGTACCACAAGTTAAAATTGAATAGAAACCAATGAACCCACTCAAGCATGGGCTGTTCTAAAGGAACCATTTTAATAAACTATCTTGTGTTTTATAAAACAACAGTGCTCCTTTCAAAAATAAATATATATGTGTTAAGTAGATGGGTGTTAGGGCATCTTAGTAATGAAGAGGCTACCTTTCTTCAGAGAAAACCTGAATTTTCTTATGCTTTTCCTAGGTGTGATTTAAGAGCACCATTTAACTTGTTCACAAGACAAAGTACGTGTCTGTCCTCAGCTAATAGTGGGCAATTTTCATTCTCTTCAACATAGCCAGGTTAATGCCAAGATGAGATCAAACCGATATCAAGGGCATGAACTGAAAGAACTGTATGATTTCTTCTTTCTGATATTCAAGGGCTAGACGCAGACTAATTGAAATCAGAGAATACCCTCACTCCAAACCGATTCATCCTCAGGCAATCAGTATTTGGGTCCCTTTCTAATGAGAGTGTACAAAAAGTTGTAATAACCAGATTTTTCACCACTTCCTGACAATTAAATCAAATGGTGCCTCAACTCTTGTCCTTGAGGAAGGGAACACATGCATTAATTTTTAATGCTCACAATTAGCAGGTTGAAAGCCTCCTTCCCCGTTCCATGCAAGAGAATTAATCTCAGAAGAAATAGAATCTGTGTTTTGTGCAAAGTTCCGTGTTATTACTAAACCGATGTCTGCCTGCAACAGATTATAATCCTCAGGGACTTGATCTTGGCCTGGTTAGTACCTGCTGGACATCACGTGGATGCCCAACAAATAAAGGTGGCCAAAAAAACAAGGGAAGAGCAGGCAGGCCAGTAGCTATGGTAGCACATCCAGCTGAGGGACTTAAAACACCTGCATGGTAATGGAAGTGAATCTCTCTATCTTCCTCTGAAGGCACCATGAAACACAACTATGAAAGATGCTCTAGGCGTCCCTGTGTGTGCAGGGGGGTTGGATTGGATGATCTCTGAAGGTCCCTTCCAACCTTAAGGGTTCTCTATGAAAGCAACTGCAACTGCATGAGGTGCTGTCACGTCCAGCCACCCACCTTCACCTCCTGTCCTGCCACCAGCGTTGGTGCCAGCAGAGCCCTCGTGCAGGGCTCCGGCGCGGGGTTGCTCTGCAGTGGAAGCGAGCGGCCAGCGGGAGGTGAAATTGGGCTACTTTCAAGCAAAACCGGCCCGCGACTCTGCTCGAAGAGTTTCCTGTTTGCTCTACCCAGGAAATGAGAGAGGAGCAGGTCTTCAATGGAAATTTTTCGCAGCCTCGACTAAAAATAGCAGTGAGGTAAAAGAAGTGGGCACCCACTCTCAGGGTCATTTCCTTTATAAAACAAGCGGGCTGGTTTATTTATCAACATACTTCTTGAGCAGCCAGTGTATCAGAAAAGGACCCTATATGAGTTTGCTTTTATTTAATACGACCACCATGTATGGAAACAGCTAACAGTCATCCTGGTCTAGAAAGGATTAACATACTAGGTGAAAAAAAAAATGCAGGTGATTAAACGGGGTTGACTAAACCTGCAGGCTTTTGAAGGGTCCTTTTTGTTGTTGTTTCCTGGCCCGAAGCAACGCTCTGGTACGCGGCCTGCAGAGCCGTCAGCTCGCGGGGCCGGGCAGGTCGGACAGTGCGGTAAAGGGCTTCCTCAACCTGCAAACTTCACTTTCCCTCCTGTGTGCTGTGCAGGAGACCAGCAGTGGGGTTTGCGGGCTGAGGTTATAGGGGGACAACCCGATAACTTTCGAAAAGAGCTAAAACGTTGCAGGGGAACAGCATGAAACATCAGCCCCACAGAGGAGCTGCAGGGTGATGCTCAAGGGCAGAGCTGGGCGCTCTCCCTTGGAGCTCCCGAGGGCTGCAAATCGAATAGTTGTTTTAAGTGTCTAGTAAATGTCTGAATGACAAGGGAGCTACCTTCTAATTAGCAGCTGCCCTGAATATCCTGTGTTCAGCCTGAATTTCACCTAAATCCGTGCAGGAACAGGATTTTGGTGCTGTTTAGATTGAGCAACATTAGCTCTGAGAGAAGGATGCCTAGCTCAGTGATTGACACTAAAGCTCCTAAGCCACAACCTGAGCTCCTAAATCTAGCAGATAAAGACAGCCCAAAGCAGGTTTCCTTCTCCTAGATGGGAGGCACGTCTGGATTAGAGCCCAGGGAAACCACACGTCTTGGGAGAACCTGCTCCAGATTTTGGGAGTGCACAAACCCACATTCAGGTGTAACCTCAGGGACTGGGTCTCAAGTGCAGGTTGCACAGGACCGGCAAACTGAGACATCTAAACTTCACAGGAAGCTGAGATCATGAGCTCAACTTTCTATTCTGAACTCCTATGTATCTTTTTTTTGGCAGCATGGTTGAAGTGTCTTTCAAGTATTGGTTCTCTTTATTTGCTCATTTCGAGCTGAGTAGAAAGAGAGAGGATGTGATTAATAAATAAAATGTTAGTTAAGGTGCCTGGCATGTGGCAGCTTTGGAGCACACTGTTATTGACCTGCTTAATGAGACAGAACTGATCCAATGGGGCCGCGATGACATATGCAAAAATCACGAAAAATAAATAATAATAAAGCATATTGAAATACAGCTGATAATGACCATCCAGACCAGGGAAATGTCTATGTCAGCCTGAATCCTTACAGCTTATCTTATTAGATACTGCTGAGCATTAGAGCAGCCCCAGCGCTTGGAGATCCCCAAGCGAGCTTACTGCAAAGGCTGACTCAAATCAGGGGAGAGCATCTGCGTTCCTCCAGAAACTCAGCTTTGATGGGCTGGAGTCAGTCTCTCAGGCTCCAGGCCTCCGAGACATTTAAGACTCCAATTCACATCCTCTCAGATGGAAATCTGGAGCGTATTCACTTGCGGGCTCATAGTGGGTTATATTAAACGCCGAGCTCCAACTAGTAGTCCAGAGACAGAAAACAGTCTCCAGTTTTAGCTGGCTTTGAGTCAAGCTCCTTGTAATTGATTGCACGCACGCACTCGTGTTCAACGCACACACAAACACGTTGGGGTAACGGCTTTGCTAGAGTTATCCCAGTTTTGGGTAGTGGCACCGGGGTCGGTGCCGTCTCCGCACCCCAGCGAGGGGCAGAGACGGGACCTCCTGCCCTTCGGGGATCCCGCGCGCGCCGTGGCCGCTCCACCAAGAGCCGTTTGACACGTGAAAGGGCCAGGCTGCAAATGAGCGAGCCAGGGAGCACTGAGCTTTGAGCCTGAGTATCCAGCGTGACGGCAAAAGCCACCAGGAAAACGGTGGTGCCACCAAGGGAGCGTGACGGCAGCGCGGGGACAAGCGTGCGCGCGAGCCCAGCATGCACAGCCCCAGCTCCGGCCCTCCACCAGCCCCAGCTACTGCGGGACAGCTCGGTGCTACGATTAACAGATTAAATAAGACTTAAAGCCCTCTAAGCCAAATAAAAAGGGGCATGACTTTTTCACTGGAAAAAAAAATAAATATAGGTTAAGAGAAACACACAGCTGGAGAAAAGGCAGAAAAATACCAATTACCTTTCATTTTGATTGCTTGGATCAAAGATCACAGTCATTCTTTTTCATATAATGTTTTGTATCCAGCTAAGGTGTGTATCTATCAGCTCTGAAAAAGATTTGCAAAACCATTTT